TGATATTTTCTAGGTACTCAAACGTTCTGTTACCACATCCTTTACAACAGACTCTAGCATTTTCCCTGCTACTGATATTAGGCTAACCAGTCCATAATTCTCTATTTCTCTCTCCCTCCTTTTTAAAAAAAGTGGGGTTATATTTGACACCCTTCAATACGGCTGAATTGTTACAAAATCTGCAGAATTTTAGAAGATGAACAAACAATGCATCAATTATTTCCATGGCAACCTCCTTTAGTACCCTGAAATGTAGATTATCAGGGGGTTTAACTGCTTTCAGTCCCATTAATTTCTCCAGCGCTTCTGTTTTTACTATTTTCCCTCATTTCTTTTTATTCTCACTGGACCCTTGGTGCTCTCGCATTTCTGGGAAGTTATTTGTGTTTCTTTTGTGAACAAGGAAGTAAAGTAGTTGTTAAATTGATGTGCCATTTCCTTGTTCTCTATTAGTAATTCTCCTGTTTCAGACTGTAAAGGACCTACATTAGTCTTCACTAAACATTTGCTTTTCACTCATAAAGACTTTTACAATCTCCCTTTACGTTTTTATGCTTCATGCTCAATTTTTCTCCTCTTAATCCATCCCTTGTTCCTCCTTTGCTGAATTCTAAACTCTCAATCTTAAGGGGGTTGCTATTTTTTCCTCAATTTTATATGACTTTTCTTTGGATTTAATACTATCTTGAATTTATTTTGTCAGCTAAGATTGAGTCACTTTTTCTGTTGTGTTTGCTGCGCCAGAAAAGGTATGTACAAGCAATGTTAAGAACATTTCTTAAATATTTGCCATTGCCAATACACTGTCATGCCTTCCAATCTTTCATGACTATCTCACTCTCAATCCTTTATAGTTTCCATTGTTTAGATTTAGCACCCTAGTATTGAATTGGACTACTTCACTTGCCATTCCAATGAATAATACTGTTATGGTACTGTCACCCTTCTCTAAAGGACCACATAGATCTGGATTACTAATCAACCCTTCTCATTGTGAACTTGCCAATGGCTTCCACTCTCAGGAGCAGAGCAAGGAGGCAGGCTCCAAAGCTACCTCAGTTGGAACAAGACTAGAACATGCATGTTGCTGTTATATTGAATGAGGTGCTAGCCATCCAGCCAACTGAGCTAACCAAGGTTATGGAGAGAAAGCAGGATTAGGCTTTTGAGGTGGACAATCAGCCATGATCTGATGAATGGTGGAGCAGACTTGAAGGGCCAAATGGCCTCCTCCTGCTCCTATATTCTATGTTTCTATGGCTTATCAAGCTAGATTGATGGGATCATAACATATATGATTGAAGTCAAAGGGTTTCAGGCCCAAAACCCATTCTAATACTTCAGCACATTATGTAGTGAGGGTAGTATGGTGGATGGCTGGTGTTTGGTCAACTATTTCGGTGAAACAAAAGATGACATAAGAATGCAAGGAATCAGAGCATGGATAGGTCATTCAGACTCTAGACACCCTTGTGAATCAAAAATCTGGCCAACTCAATTCATAGATTTTCAGTGAACTAGTATCTGCTGCTCAGATGGGAAGAAAGCTGCAAAAACTAATGGCCTTCTTCAAATTTCAAGCCCACAACTTCATCTTAAATGGGGTTTTTGAAATAGTGACTGCCACATCTAGACTCTTCACACACAGAAGTATTGTCTCAACATCTATCCTGTCAAGCCCCTTCCAATGGAGGGCATGCCCCATCTACATCAACAAATCTGAGGTGGAGACAGTCCAGATTCTCAAGTTCCTAGGAGTGATGATAACCAATCTGCCCTGGACCTCCCACGTAGATGCGACTATCAAGGCGGCACAACAATGCTCTTCTTCCTCAAGCGACTTAAGAAATTTGGCATGTCCATAAGGACACTCACCAACTTTCATAGATGCACCATAGGAAGCATTCTATCTGGGTGCATAAAGGCCTGGTACGGCAAATGCTCTGCCTAGAACTGTAAGGAGCTACAGGCCATCACGGAAGCCAACTTCCTGACCATGGTCTCCACTTACACTTCTCGTTTCTCATCAAAGACTCCTCCCACCCCAGTAATGTTCTCTTCCAACTACTTCTGTCATACAGAGACACAGAAGCTTGAGCAAATGCACCAACAGTTTCAAGAACAGCTTCCTCCTTGCTGTTATTAGACTGCTGAATGGACCTCTCTAACTTCAAATAATGTTGATTTTGCTAATGTTGAACTTGCTTTGGGCATCTCCTGTGCAGTGTAACCTCATATGTCTCATTCTGTCTAAGCACCCCATGATCTGTATGTTATTGTTTGCTATGATCTGCTGTACTGCTCGTAAAACAGAACTTTTCACTGTACTTAAGTACATGTAACAACAATAAATCAAATCAAATGAAAACTCTCATACTCCAATGGAATCACCACTCAATCTCCATATATATTCGTTGTAGGTTCTTGTGGTGCAGTGGTAGTGTCTGTATCTCTCAGCCAGAAATTTCAAGTCCCACCCACTCCAGGTGTGTGTCATAACATGTCTGACAAGGTTGATTAAAAAAAAAATTAGGAAATATACAATTCGAAAAGCATACAGGTTTGGCTGAAGTTCTAGTAACATTAGGTAGCATTGTTCCCAATTAGGAGTTCTTGTATCTGTTCGGGTGACTGATTCACACCTTGGAGGAGGTCAATATTTCATTGCAAGGAAAACATTTTAAGGGTGGTATTCCTTTGCATGTATTACCCTACGGAGCCCAGAATTTTGTAAATATAAATACAAGTAGTGCTGGAAATACTCAGCAGTTCTGGCAACAACTATGGAGAGAAAAAATTATAGTTAACATTTTGAATCGCAGAAATTAAAAGTCAGTCATATTCAACTCAAAACATTATAGTTTTCTTGACAAGCACTACTGATGGTCAAGGGTTGCTCATTTAGCTGAATGGCTAGTTTGCAATGTGGAGTTATGCAAACAGTGTGGGTTTGATTTCCAGGCCGGCTTTCTCCAAACTCCCCCTCACCTGAGGCATGGTGACCCTCAGGTTAAACCATCACCAGTCATCTCTAATGAGAAAGCAGTCCCTATGACACTATGGTGACTTGCCCTGCTGAGTACTTCCATCACTTCCTGTTTTTACTTCAGATTTCTAGCAGTCACAGTATTTTACTTTTTTTGCAGGATCAGGCCATATGAGATGTTGATATTTCCACAATCAAATATGAGCCAGCTAGTCTCAGTGTGCTTGCTGATGGTTGCTGCTGTGCCTTTCCAGAATCAGAGACATTCCAAAGAAGTAATGGAACATAACAGCCAACTAATTTAAAAAAAAACATTCTGGACATTACACTAATAAAACGGCTAACAGCTGATACCAAAATGTCTGTGAAAATCTTACGTCTCTCAGTAAACTGTTTAACAGTCTGAGTTCAGCAAAATTCCTTCAGAACTTCAGCAAATGTTTTGACAGCTAAAGGAAGTGGCTACCAGTCTACTCTTTTAGGAGGGGAATTCTAGTCTATAAAAGAGATAAAAAGGTTGTGGTCTCACATATATTACCAGCTGGAGTCCTTAAAGGTAAAGTCTCTTCAAGGCAAAGGTATAAATGCAACATAAATCTGGATAGTGGCTGTGTGAACATAACTGTCAACAATGGGGAGCTATCTGACATCCTTCGTCTGGTGTTAATTGACCAATAATGCTCCCAAATTAGTCCAGTGGCTGGATTTTATTAAGTAGAAGGATTAGAAAATCATTATTGTTGAAGAATTCTATTTAAATATGGTAAAAATAGCATAGGCCAATGGCTATCATGAGGAATATTTCTATTTCTGAATTTTCCAGTCAGCATTGCTAATAAAGATCTCTCTCTGATCACACATTTTCCATGACTTAGTCTCTATTTCCTGTATTAAAATAGAAGAAGGGCAAGACAGTGTGCATTATCTTTCAATGCAGATCAAGGACCACTCTTTTCAAACAATTGTTTTACAACCATTGAGGCTCTATAGTCTGAAATAGGCCATTTGGCCCATTAGGCCTGTGCCTGCTGTTTGTTGGAGCAATCCTTTCATTTTGCTATCTGTACAATTCTGTATCCTCCTTTGTTTCAAGCAGCTACTAATTTTTTCCTTTAAATAATGGTCTCTTCCCTCATTATTTGTGATGATACAAAATTCCACACTGCAAAAATTCACAGCAAAATTTCTTCTCACATTTCCTCACTCTCTATAAGTTGATGATTCCTCATCACTAACCCTTCCCGAAGTGCCACCACATGAAGTAGTCTTTCCCTTTTACCTCTGTCAAAAATATTTTGACCTCTAAAATAACCTTTAACTTTCCCTTACTAGTGAAAGTATTCTTAGTATCATAACTGAACTTTGCCATCCTTGGGATAGTCCTAATATATGGATGCCATGTGACATAGGGTTCAGTGTCATACATTGATTTACATTGCTCCTGTGATGTGCCTTGGAATCTTTAATTATGATAAACATACTTTGTAAATATATGTTGTCATTGATTGCACTGTATTCAATATATCAATATTTTGTGGACATTACCAGGCTTTGCACACACACACACACACACACACACACACACACAGTTTTGATACCTTTCCAGCCAAAAGAACTGAAAAAACTTAGGACTTTAAGAGTTAATTGTATTAGCTCAACTTATGGGACTTGACTTATTTCTTTAAAGTTGGCATGCTATTGTAATTGGTTACAGAACTAACGGCCACAATACTTCTAGGTGTTGTTGATACATTCAATTACTTACTAAATTAAAATCACTTTTTTAAAAATGATAAATTAAATGACTATCAACTGAAAACTGTAAAACTTGTTTGAAAATATCCTGCATGGCTGCTATTTCGGTTCAGAACAGGGTATATGGAGTTCCATTGGCTTTTTTATAGCACAAAATAAAAACCAAACTGGCGAAGATAGGTTTGTTAATTGACTTAATCGGCAGAAATACTACTAAACTCAAACATCAGCATTGTTTTAGTAACAGGCAGGGTCTTACCTTCAGAAGTCATCTCTTTCATATCTATCAGGATGTAAAGCTTACCCTCCGGCTCCAAATCAACCTAACAAAGAAACACACAATGATACATTAAAATATAAACAAATACGAGTCATATGCTATACACTCATATGTGAACAAATATAATGAAATTGTACCAAGATGAATTCTCACGTCAGACCTTTAAATCGATGGAATCGTAGATGTTTTACAGCGAAGATGGCCATTCAGAGCAATCCAAGCCTAATCCAATGTCTATCTTCTCTACAGTAGCACTAGTAAATTTGCAGGTGATACCAAAATTGGAGGTGTAGTGGACAGCGAAAAATATGACTTCAGAGTACAACAGGGTCTTGATCAGATGGGCCAATGGGCCGAGGAGTGGGCAGATGGAGCTTAATTTAGATAAATGTGAAGTGCTGCATTTGAAAAGACAAATCAGGCAGGACTTATACGCTTGATGGTAAGGTCCTGGGGAGTGTTGCTGAACAAACAGACCTTGGAGTGCAGGTTCATATTTGGAGTGCAGGCTCATAGTTCCTTGAAAGTGGAATTGCAGGTAGATAGGATGGTGAGAAGGTGTTTGGTATTCTTTCCTTTATTGTCAGTGCATTGAGTATAGGAGTTGGGAAGTCATGAGCAGCTCTACAGGACATTGGTTAGGCCACTATTAGAATACTGTGTGCAATTCTGATCTCCCCACTATAGGAAAGATGTTGTGAAACTTGAAAGGATTCAGAAAAGATTTACAAGGATGTTGCCAGGGTTGGAGGGTTTAAGCTATAGGGAGAGGCTGAATAGGCTGGGGCTATTTTCCCTGGAGCATCGGAGGCTGAGGGGCAACCTTATAGAGGTTTATAAAATCACAAGGGGCATGGATAGGTAAGTCGACAAAGTCTTTTCCCCAGGGTCAGGGAGACCGAAACTAGAGGGCATAGGTTTAAGGTGAGAGGGGAAAGATTTAAAAGGGAACTAAGGGACAACTTTCTCACACAGAGGCTGGTGCATGAGCTGCCAGAGGAAGTGGGGGAGGCTGGTACAATTACAACATTTAAAAGGCATATGGATGGGTATATGAATAGGAAAGGTTTTGAGAGATATGGGCCAAATGCTGGGAAATGGGACTACATTTATTTAGGATCTCTGGTCAGCATGGACAAGTTAGACTGAAGGGCCTCTTTCTGTGTTGTATATCTCTATGACTCTATTTATCACTAAAGTTAAATGTTTACCTGTGCTTCCCTATATTGTTACAATTGTAAGTTTTATAAATAATTAAGTATTAGAATTGTACCTTTTGTCTTATAAGAATATTACATTTTTGATCTGTTGCATTAAATTTAGTGTAGATTAAGAGGTCATGTGATCCATGCTGGCGTCTGCCTGAATGCAACGGTTTACTGTTTACAGAGATTTCAGCAAGGCTCATATTGGTTTATTAAATGGAAGGCATAGGTATTTTGCTTGGGGACTGTTGTGATTGGAACGAGGTCAGCCAGGTGGACCTCATAGAATATGAGTTCACTGATTGGGACTGCTGAACTGGTCCAATCAGGGAGCTCCGTCAGGGGTGCTGCTCACTCCAGAGCTGGCTCTGAGCTAGCTGGGTCAGTGTCACGTACTAAGAACATGTATTAAAGGATGACTAGGTGAAGGGATCCCAGCCTTGGTGGAGTCAGGGACAGTCAGGGACAATGAGAGCAGTTTGTAGGTCCACAACAAGTGGACATTAAGTCACTGAATGTCTTAGACAGATGTTATAGTTATTATTTTGTAAAACATTAGGCAGTAAACTTTACTTATAAGATGAAAGGAAGTTCGCATCAAGGATAATTACTTGACATTTCTAATTAAATGCAAAACTAACATGGTCCCAGTTTCTTAGAAGATGAGTGGAGGAAATTTGACAGAGATCCAAGTCCTTTGTCTACCTACATGATTTTTAGAAGTTTCTATGCTTTGTGCTTTCTTCCTGAAAGCTGAAGAACCTGGACAAGGATGTCTGGTTCCTTGCAGAGAAACTATTAAAACAACAGCAAAGGAATTTCAGTTTAAAGGTTATCCTTGCCCTTTTATTTCCCCCTTCATTTCTCTGTCCCAGAGAAAAATAGAGGCATTTATTTAATAAAGATAATGCGTATAATCAATGGCCATGAGTACTGCTCAGGGGAATCACATAATTAGTGGTTCAGGTAATGCCAGAAAGCATTGATTTATGGCTGGAACAGGTTACATTGCAATTGGAATCTAAGCATTTGGGGAAATTGTCAACGGCTTGTCATTTTAACTTGTTTGAGTGAACTATTTCATTCTTGAAAGCATTGTAGGTTCTTTGACCCTAAGCGAATCAGATGGACTGCTCTGATGATTGAGAGTCTAGATGCGACTCGGCTGAACAGTTAAGAAAGATAAAAGGTAACTATATAATCTAATGTATGTTGTGTGTGCTCACACATGTGCGAGAGAGAGAGAGAAGGAAATGATGAAAAACAATAATTTTAGAATAATGTACTGAAACTATAGAACTTACAGGGAGATACTGGAGTCTGATACTGTCAAGGTTGACTCAGCAAACAGATGTACAGTGACATCATTGTGTTGCCTATTTAGGCTTAATGACACACAGTTCAACTTTTCACAGAATAAACACACGTCCCCGGAGAATTTAACTCAGCTGCAATGAAACCATCACAGCAGGTTGTTTAGTATCATATTACTAAGTTCAATAAAATAAATGCCCCATTTACTGCAACTTCCCATGATGAGTTCAAGGGAGTCTCAGTTCATCCAGATGGAATTCTAATGTCATTTGTATTTGTTTCAGGTAAACAGGCTGACAGGTGTTGTAAAATATTGTACTTAAAGTGGCTAATCCGACCAATAACTGCTGTTAAGGGATTCCCCCATTCCAAAAATTGGGATCCAATGAGAGCACAGAACCCTCTTGAGTTTCTGTGCTACTGTTTGTAATATATCCTTGCAAAGGCTTTGATCTTAAGACAAAAGAGGCACAAATCAGCCATTCAGCCCTTGACTCTCTCTATCATTCAATGGCTGATTTGATAATCCTCAACTCTGCCCTTAATGCCCTCCTAGTTAAAAGTCTGTCTCAACCTTGGATATACTCAATGACTAAGCCTCGACAGCCCTCTGCGGTAAAGACTTCTACCAATTCACCATCCTCAGAGAAGAAATTCCTCCTCATCTCTGTCTTAAATGAATGACTCCTTACTCTGAGATTATGCCCTCTGGTCCCAGACTCTCCCACAAGGGGAAAATAAGCTTTCCGCATTGACCCTTGAATCTTGCATGTTCCAATAAAATTGTCTCTCATTCTTCTCAACTCCATTGAGTACAGAACCAATCTACTCAACCTCTCCGAATATCACATGCCCAGGATCAGCCTAGTGAACCTTTTCAGGATTGCCTCCAATGCCTGTACATCTTTCCTTAGGAAAGGGGCCCAAAACTGCTCACAATATTTCAGGTGTTGTCTACAGTGCCTTAGAAAAACTTCCCTGCTTTTATACTCAATTCCCTTTGAAATGAAAGCCAACAGTCCAATAGACATCCCTGTTTTCTGTTCAAGGAGGAAATGCAGGACGAGGAGGAAGTTCAGCTTTGGTCGAAGTGCAATGTGGTTTGGTTCGATAACAGCCTTGGAGAGGGTAGATAATACAATCTAAGATTGCATTTCCCTGTGTTTGAGAAGGTCAAGGGATGACTTGATCAAAGTCTTAAGATTTTAAGCTGGAAAGGTTCAGCAGATAGAAAGAAAGAACATCAGCAGTTAGAGAGCACCGGTAGGGTCATAATTAAAGAATTAGAGGTGGACCCTTTTAAAAGCGAAATTAAAAAAGATACTTCTACCCAAAATGCCTTCGGTTTTAGCAGTGGCACCACACCAAGATGAAAAGTCTGAGGCAAGCCCACCTTCATTTGGTATCCCCACAGCCATTTAACAGCCATTAGATCATTGACTGGCTCAGTGTGAGGTTCCTACCCCCATCCGGGATAAAGCCAGCCAATCAAATGCCTAGCTGCCCTCCAGTCTGAACAGCACCAATGGGAGTGGTGGCCATTGGTAGGACTGCAGGCAATTTGCTAAGGAGTAACATGTTGCCAGATCAGTACGGAAATCAGGAATTTTATTGGCATCAGGCTGGCATGCCCCAATACAACACAGAGTGGGTGACCAGGTGCTACAGGTTAGAGCAGGATGGAACATACAAGATGGCAGGGACTTAGTTGGGGACGAGCTTCTACTGGGTACAGGGTGTCCACACTGGAGCTCCTCAGCCTGCAAGAAACCATCATAATGATCCTGCCACTGGATAGGTTACCATATACAGTTGCCCCAAGGGCAGGGAAGTCTCCTAATACCCAGTTGTTGGTAGAATTCCAGGTGAGACATGTAAACAATACTTACAGTGCCACTGCATCTGATTTCACCGCATCCAACGATGGTTATCGTGGGCAGAAGAATAGAGAGAGAGAGTGCTGAGTGGGTGGGGAGGAGGTGTACATAAATTTCCACCTCCGAAAAAGAGTTTTAGAAGTTTGGAACTCTTCAGAAAAACCTACTGACACTGGATCAGTTATTAATTTTATATCTAAGATTGACAGATTTTGGTAAACCAAGAAATTTAGGGATATGGGACAAAGGTGAATATGTGGACTAGAGTCGCAGATCAACCATGATCACATGAAATGGTTGAATAGGCTTGAGAGCTAAATAACATTTTACTGTTCCCGTGTTTCTTGAGAACTAAAATAAATGAAGTCAATTTTTTCAAAGGGCCTTACTAAGTTATATTGAGATCACATATAGGAACTGTATTCTGCTTTCCTTTCATCATGTACTTTTATTAAACAATGAAATAATGATACTAAGGCAAGAAAAATACTCATCTTTGGGTCTCAATTAAACTGGCTAATAATATAGGCATATTGTTACATGACAACCACTTTACATTAAATTTGTGTTCTCTCAGATATTGGCTTGGGATCAGCAATGATACAGCTGTGTTATACACATGTACTTTTCAGTATTTTTCATGGTCA